GCAGATTAGTCAGTAGGAGCAAGAAAATCCACTGCTGTTACAGCCTATTCCATTCGAAGATCTGATTTAGACTGTCCCATCCATGGAATTAGTTAGCAAGCAGAATGGAATAACTTAGTTATGTTGATACAGTGATAAAATTAATTATTTTTCCCCCCATTAATTGATTTCAAACCAGAAGAAGCATGTACCTTTTAAAATCAACAGTTGGTCTTATTAATATAATTTTTTGTATGTGGCCCAGCTGTACAATTGTGTAGAGAATGCATGATGTATAGTTTCTATGCCGGAAGAAATATTTCCAGTAAGTTTGTGGAGAAACACACTGAGGCATAACAGTTGGGCTTATTTTATACACACAATAGTATAGTTGCAAATTGCAGCTATTAGGAAAGCAATTCACGTTCAAATCTGTCCTAATAGCCTTTTATGGTCATGGCTGGAAAGTAGCACCTGATTTGTAGCAGATTTTACCCAAACTGTTGGGACTCATTTATCTGCTAATATAAAATGAAAATTTTGGGAGAATATCACTATGTTTCTGGAACAGAAAAGAATATGTATTAAGGAGGAAAATGGAAAGACACTTTGGAACCAACAAGAAAGTGTTTAGGCTTGAATTTTAATGAAACAGCACAGTTACGAAAATAAACCTCTGTCCATAGTTTAGAAAGTAAATTGTTAATAGTGACTGGAAAATGGATGTACTAGGGAAAAATTATGAATATGAAGTGAAAATGCATCTCCCCTGGATCAAAACTTTCTTCCAAAGAAACCAGGTCACAAAAAACTTCTGCTTTGTTTCTGACATGCTTGTTTACTTTGGTTCATTTTCTAATCAGCGTAGGCAGGCAAAAGCTCCTGTGGAAATTTATACAGATTGTAAGATGACATTAATAACATTGACTCTTGAGCAGGTTGTAAGTGAATACATACTCCAGCTCTCTGCTGCAGACATAACAGACTATAAAACAGATCCTGTTCAATTCACCCACTTCACCAAAATGTTGTAACTGAGTCTACAATGAAGTGTGCACACTCTTTTATTGACTTCTGAAAAATCGATGGAGATGATGTAACGTGTGTGTGTGTGTATGTACATACACACACATCTGAGTAATATTTTTCCTCTGGTAACGTACCTTGCTGAAACTGTTGTTGGCATGTTTTGTTCCAGCAAGGATGCTATCAGAGGAACTAAACTGTATTATTGATACAACTGTGCTAGTCTTTACTAGTAAAAGAAAACCATATGAATGAAGCCGCTCTTCTATGTGATCAGACGCAACTAAGGTAGCTCTAAATATATTCCAAGCACATGGGATACATACGACACATGAGCTCAATATGCAAGTGGGGTTGGTGGTGTTTTCTGGGAAATTATGAAAGGCTTGTGTTTATCAACCATATCAATGTAAGGGGGTAAACTGCAAAAGTAAATCTATTAAAAATTGTCTTTTTCTCTGAGATACTAAAAAGAGTAGAAAACTGGCAAACCTGGGATCCATGCCTGAATTTGAATTTCAAAGCCATTTCTATCCTTGAATCTTGTACATGAATTCAGAGGGTTGTTAAAATGGTATTATGATTTTTAAAACCACTTGAACACCTAGAATTGAACGACTATGCATAAGATTAGATATTTGTTTGTTTTGTTTTCTGCTGCAGTTTCTCATTTGATATGTTAAATAAGGATTATCTGACATAACAGAGGAATAATTCTGAAAAGATAAAAGGTGATAAACATGATTTTCCCTTGATGAGATGAGTAAACTCATGTAATGCTTATTAAAATCAAAATAGAAGTTTATTCCAAATGTAAAATTCTCTCAGCTGGGTATGATTTACGTTTATGTACTAGCCTGTTGGCTCATTAAGTAACAATCTATGATAATATGTTTAAACACATAAGTTTTAGTAACAGTAGGAAATTGGATGCAACCCATGGAATTATACTATTCAAATTGATTGAAACTCAGATGGAGATGATCATGATGGCAAGCATGATTATTTGAGCAGCAGCAATAGTTTCCTGTGGATTTTTATGTTGTGTGTAAGCTTTGATGTCTCATTGACACGATAAACTCTAATTAAAGCTGTTTTCATGATTTAGACTTTTCTTGTCTATGTACCCCTAGTAAGTTAAGAGCTCTGGTTATGAGCCTGCCTCTGTCCAGTCACCTGTCTTAATGAAACTTTTAAGAACATGTTTGTCTTTTATCACTCATTTAAAATCTGTTTAGAATTGGTCAGTATATTCAGAATAGGTAATATCAAGGACAGACTGCAGCAGGATAATCAGATAAGCAATGTTGAAGACTACATGAACAGAAGGTAAGCATAGTATGAGGTTTCTGATGAGATTCTGTAAGAATCTATGCTTGGATCATTGTTTTTAGGATATATGTAGCATGATTTTTAATCTTTTTTTTGAATCAGCATAAACCAAGGTGATGGTACATCAGAAGTAATTGGGAATACCCAAGTGCAAAGGTTGCAATCTTATAAAACTCCTAAAGAGATTAGAAACATGCACAAAAACAGAGGTATGAGAAGATAAAAATGTAGATATTTTGCAGAGCCTTAGGAGGCAATAGTTTAAGCAGGACAATTAATGCACCGTGTTTATGATATTATGGCCACAAATAGGTCTAGCATATTTTTAGCTTGGAAACATGAGCACCATGAGTAAGCTAGGAGCAGCCTCTTCTTACGGAGTTCAAGTGCAACTGCAAAACGAAAAAAGAAAATGAAGAACAACTGTTTTTTCCTTCTCACATGCTTCTTGGTAGCTATCCTGAGTTGTTGTAGCTCATTCCTTTCAAACTATGGCTTTGAATTTGGTGAGGGTGGGGTGTGTTAATTTGTGTTTGTCCATTTGGACATTGTTTTGAAAATCTATTGGGAAAACCTCATTTGCATATGCAAATTCAATTTCATAGTTCAGCTCTGTGGCAGCAAATTTTTGTGTGTGCTGTGTCCTTCTTGGTGCTTCTCTGGAAGAATGAAAAGGTAAAGGAGACAGCCTGGCTAGGCTGGGAAGAGAAGAGAGATTGCAATGAAGGGAGTGGAGAGTAGAAGTCTGTTGGAGAGGAGTTCTCATGGGCAAAGATGAGATATGGACACTGGCCAGCACAGAGGAAATGGAGGGAAAAATATTTAACTACAAAGAGGAGGAGAGGGCTAGACACAGGAGACTGGAGATTTTGGAGGAGCCGAGGAGTTGGGGGCACACTGCGTATGTAGATAACGGGAGAGTGATTAGGAGGCAGCTGGTACAGTTAGAAGAAATGGAATGCATCAGGAAGGGAGCAAATATGCTGGTGATGAGTGGGTCACTGAACTGGTGGCTGCTCGCAGGATGGCATCAGAAGGGGAAGAGTCTGTTACACGGGGACTGAAAGGAGGACAGTATCTAAAATATGGGTACACAGGCATATTTTACGGGTAGGAACAGAGCTAGGCAGGTGGGCCAGGAACAGAAGACAGCTGTGTTTGCTGTGTTACCGGGCTGCGAGGCTTGGTAAAACTGGAAATTGCTCAGCTTTAGAGGTCTTAAGGCTCTATGCTTCCCTGCTGTCTGGAAATAAGTGTGAAGGTGCTGTCAAGGTGTGAGGCTCTGCTTGGCTTCTGTGCTGCCTGATCCATACAAAATAGCTGAGTGCTGTTGAGTCAAGTGATAGAGGCTTTTGCTGTGGCTGCTGCTGTTCAAACCTTGCCAAGCTGGCAGGCTGCATGGCTCCAAGCAGCAACATCTGTGTATGCTTGAAAGACTTAATAACTTTAATTCAAAACACTTTTGCATATGTCAACAGACTTTTCTTTTTGTTTCTTTCTTGTTTATTATTCTTTTAACATTTTTAGTGTAATTTTTATCAGTAAACAACTAAAAAGTTGTGCAAGAAAGTTCATCCAGCTGGCTAGTAACAAAAGACTTGATCCTCTCATGCCAGTTTCATGTGTCCTTTTACTTCATTGAAGTTTCTCCAGATTTACACTGAACCTGAGAAGAGGCAAATGAGACTCAAAATAGTGAGATATGATGTTCTTACTGGATTCTGAAGTGCTATTTCATGTCATTCACATGGCTGTTTTGCCTGAGTAAGGCCCATAATTTGGGGCTTGAAAGACTGTTCACAAGTGTTCACACATTGCTTGTGTGTGCATGTATGTGCCTGTAAGGTTTTTCATTTTAATTGACTGAACTTTTAAATGGAAAATATCCTAAATTTTGCATAATGTTTTACTGCCTTTGTGAGTATCTTAGTGCAGTTAAGTAACTAACAAACTAATGAAGTTTGTAGCAGTGTCTTTTGTGAAAAGATTATGGTGGTGATAATGGATGGATTCTGTAAAGTGTGACTATATTAGTATATTTACTTTAAATGAAAAATGTCTCCTCTTTGTTGTGTTTAGTCCAAAGTGAAGACTAAATGGAGAAAGTTCTCTCCTGTGTTCGTATTATGTACAGTTTTTCTTTTTCTCTCCACAAATTCTTCTTCTCTTTCCTTTTCGTACTACTTGTTGTTCTATCATAGAAATATTGTATACCAAAGAATTACTCAAAAGTTTTTGCAAAGTACAATAATGATTACTTAATATGCTTCTCTCTTCATCTCTGTGGTCAGAGATTATCTTCAAAAACGGTATAATACAGCATTATATGGGAAGAAGCAGGCAAGGGAAGTTTCTTGTATTTCCCCCAAAGAAAGAATAAAGTGAAATCCAAAGACATGTTTAACGGTGATCTTTCAATATCCATGGAAGTAATTTATTTTTCATTTCTTAGGCACAATGTAGTTATAAAATTGGTTGTTTGCACAGGTGGTTGAAGTTTGAAGAAGATGTAGAGGATGGTGGAGAGAGGTGGAGCAAACCATATGTTGCCACACTGTCACTTCATAGCTTATTTGAGCTGAGAAGCTGTATCCTGAATGGCACAGTTCTTTTGGACATGAGAGCTAACTCCATAGAAGAAATTGCAGGTATGTATTGATGTTCCACTTATTAGTTATGAAAATTAATCATAAAAATCAAGTGCTTACAATATTGCTTACAAGAAAGCTATTGCATAATAATCAGTTCAGTTTAGAAACTCCCAGGAAATATTTTACTCAATATATTAGAAAAGAATCTAATGTCTGACACAATTAGTAAATATTTTATTTATTTTTTTTGTATAGACTTTGCTATTTTCAGAATCAATTTTTATGTAAAGAAGAAAATTTATGTAAAGGAGCAGAGAGGACAGTTTGGATATATTTCATTAGAACTGGCATGTTTCCTGGTCCTGCTGTGCCACCTCACATTGTGAATGATGCGTGTGCTAACTTCCACAAACTGAATCTACTGCTATGCTAATTGCAGATAATCTAGCTTAAAAAACCCTAAATTGTAGGGAACTGTTCATCATAATTACGTAACATGAAAACACACCAGTTTAAAAAACACGTGCCCACCAAACTGCTCTATCATTCCCCTCCTCAGCATGACGGGGGAGAGGGGAGAAAATAAGAGGGAGAAAAGACTCGTGGGTCAAGATAAAGGCAGTTTAATAAAGCAAAAGGAAAGGCTGTGTGTGGAAGTAAAGGAAAACAAAAGATTTATTCTCTACTTCCCGTCAGCAGGTGATGTCCAGCCACTTCCCGGGAAGTAGGGCTTCAATACGTGTAGCAATTGCTCAGGAAGACAAACATCGTAATAATGAATGCCCGCCCTCCTCCTCCTTTCTCTTAGCTTTTATTGCTGAGCAGACATCATATGGTGTGGAATATCCCTTTGGTCAGTTTGGGTCAGCTGTCCTGGCTATGTCCCCTCCTAAGATCTTGCTCCCCCCCAGCCTACTGGTGAGGGGGGGAAATGTTGGAAGAGACAGCCTTGATGCTGTGTGAGCACTGCTCAGCAGTAGCCAAAACACTGGTTTGTTATCAACACCTTTCTAGCTACCAATGCAAAGCACAGCCCTATGAGGGCTGCTGTGGGGAAAATTAACTCCATCTCAGCCTGACCCAATACACTACCTTACTGTATTTCACAACATTTTCGAAAATGGTGCTGTAGCTGAAAATCATACATTTGATATCTTATACAAATTATACAATATATTGCTATTTTATACAAATATCGTATTAGATTTATGGTATTCTCCATACTGCAAACTTGGCTTGAAGATCAAACATGATGCAACAAATTTAAATTGGCAAAAGAGCACGTGCACAGAGAAATGCTGCATGAGTGGTTGTTAGGGCCTTTTTGTTGCCTTGTCACAGGCGCAAAGTAGCACGTTAACAGAAAATGTAACATACACAAATAAAAATAGAAAACTTTTATTTAGGTAAAGGTACAAAAGGCAGAGCAAGAAAATTTTCTACACTCAAGATTATAAAGAAAACTGCTTTATGGGTAATATGTAAGTCTACGTAAGGGCCAGATAGAATTAGTTGTAGTTATTTACATTATCAGGTAAGGGACATACTGTTCAGTGGGCTATATTTAACAGTGGAATTAAAATTGGTGCAGCTAGCGGCAGCTGCTTTTTGCATTTACCTTTCCCAAATTGTTTATGTCAAACTGACGCAAGATACAATTAGTCCAAATCTGCAGAAACTTGCGTGGGTTTCTACTCTGTGCCGAGATCTGATTCTCCCATGAATCATGGTCTGAATCAGAGCTTCAAAATTTGTCTTGATAATGATAAAAGATAAACATGAAGAATAAAAAGCAGCTGATTGGAAAGAACAAAGGTGTTTATCAGTATGCTGCTTTATTATTTATGTAATTAAAAAAAAATCAAGAAGTACTTACACCAGCTGCTTGATGTTCTTCTATTGCTTTTTTGCTTAAATAGTACACTAGGATTTTCAAGCCTGAGCTTCACATTTTTAATCCAAAAATCACTCAACTTCTTCTGTAGTCAGCTAAGAGATCCCTTCCAGAATTGTTTTTATTTAAGTACGTAAAAAAGTAAGGATTAACACAATAAAAATAACTTCAGCAAACTTCTTTTTTTTTCTGTTTTTGGAAGATATTGTATAGTGAGACCACAATGAATTCATGTTTATAATCTCTTAATCCTCAGTTAGTTGTAGTAATTTTGTTTGTTTGTTTAGTTAATGTGTCCAAGAATACCAGCGTTCATAATACTAATTTTGTTTTGAAACTCGTCACAGTTGTAATTTGTCCTTCAGTAGAGAATTTGATGAGTTACTGTAATGCTATTTTGAATCAATCCTGCTTCTGGGATATCTTGATTTATTTATTAGGAACATTTGTTTCTTCTGAGACAAGGCTTTAGGATGACTTTCATGAATTGGCATGCACCATTTTCACTTTAAAAGTACCTGTTGTTGTGGCAGATGTGGGTGTATTTCATTTATTGGTTTATTTGTTCAAACTGGTAGGCATCTCTTTCTGATAAGGTGATCTGACACATAAGGCTTGCATGGGTCTTGCCTTGTCTTTGAGAGAGGATTTTTTTTTCCCCTCTGCAGATTCAATAAGCAATAAGTAACTAACTTTTTTTTTAAACAACTTTGTAATTTGTAATTTGGTACTCTAATACTACATATATAGTTCCTGCGGTCCAGCGCTTACAAAACGTTATGAGAGTGTGGCACACACCAGGCAGTGCTGGGAGGAGGAAAGACTAATAATAGTGGTGACAAGCACGCCACCAAGATATGTATGCTAGGTATGTTAGAAATTTGATAATTCCAAATAATATGACAGGCTGTTCTTTTTCCATATAAATGACTGCTGGACCTGAAGATTAGACAGAACTTGTATCTCTCAGGAAATCCTTTCTTGTCTGTCCTACTCGTCAGTAGTTACAATCCTACTTACCGTGTGCTATATAATGCAAACACTGTTTTCACCCTGGAGTTGGTATGTATTCCAGTGGTGTCTGACAGTCCTGACACTTTAGAGTTTAAAGAAATGGTTGCTCTCACCTGTTGGCTTCAATTTTTTTCAACATTTAACTCTCTCCTTACTTTGCTTGTAGCCATTCTCATCCTAGGCTAGTCAGTGATCCTGACGGTCACTTTTGGTTGTTCTTTTCAATGGGTACTGTGTATACCACATGTAGGAGAATTAGCAAAAATAGATTGTATGCTGTGGTCTTAAGTGGTACTCCTAAATTAACTTGTACTTCTGATTCATAGTTTATTACTATGGGTTTTGTTTTTTTAATGCAATCAGTTGATAATTTTACTGCATTACTATAGTGCATCATATCTTTTGAGAACAAATAAACTAATTGTGCACATGTACTTCCTTTTTACTTGCCTTATCACTTTGTTAGGGAGAAATGTGTGTTGTGTATTTGTTGGTAATGTCTTGCTATCTGGGCTACATTCCAATATCAAATTATATTTCTGTAAATGCAGTGCCAGTCTTCGTATCCTTGAAAGAGGTATACTTAATCTTCGTTGCTAAATCGAGACAAAGTTTTCCTATTTGTTTTAGTCAAGGCTTTTAATCTATAAACACTTATTCACTAAGGCATTAAACTCTCAGCATTTAGCCCTTGAAAATTTCTTTTATTTAAGTCTGTGTTTTAAGACCTTAATGGGCTTGTGGTAAAATCTACAGATGAAAAGCATCTTTTATACTGTTTGCGTGGCTTTCAGAACATTTTGTATTTCATCCCTGGAAACTCTGATAGTTCTGCGTAAAAATATTTTGGCACCAGTCATGTGGTGAGAATTTTTAAATCATCCTGTCTTCCAGCACGTCCATTCTTTATTAGATTCTCTTTTCATTCCAACTCTGTCTTATTAAAAAATGACTTGATCTACAAGACTGTAAATGTCTTTGGACAGGCACCCAATTTTCTTTGTTGATAAAGAGCTTATTCATACCTATGATGCAGAATTCACAGACAATATCTTATTATGATAGAGACTTCTGAGATGAATTTCCAACATTGTCGTCATGCAGCAAAACAGCATGTTCATTCCTGAAGTTTCTCAAATTGTTCTTAAATTTTGTAAGATGGATTTTATTTTTCCCTTGAAAAGAGCTCAATTCCTCTGCTGAACTTTATTCTGTTTAAAAATGCATTTTTATTAAGCATATTTTAGGGGTTTTATTACTATTTTTAATACGTGACATTCTTTTTTCATAGGTCTTTGCAGTGGCTCCTATATCAGTAAGCTAGCACTCCATGCACAAGGAATTCCTTTGAACATTTGATGTGGTAATATTTTATCGATCACTTCTGTATAGAACATATGCTAAAAGGAAGTCTGAAAAATCTATGTAATCAAAACAATTTATTTTGGAACTTGTCTCTTGAGGAGGTATTTGCCAGAATCTGGCTGCACCATTAGAGAGCAGCTTCACTGTGTTGTTCAAGTTGGCAGATGAAAATGTTCTCTTTTGATATTTTCATTTAGTTCCTTTGAAACCATGTAGATTCTCAGATTACCATCTGGTTTTTTGATTGTAACTACTGAACGAACCCAAAAGGTTCTTCTACTTAACATATGATGCCATTTTCTGTTGTTTGGTTCAAAAACTGTTTGGTCCAGCCTTTAATGGCAATACTTTCTTTACAACATGAATCACAAATCTTGCATTTTCTCTTGCAGAGTGTACTGTGAACAAATGTTAAACCTTGTCAAATACAAACTGTGGCCTCAGCGTTGCACAGTGGTGCTTTGGCGACTTGCACATGGTTGAAATATTAGATAGTCCCATTTATTTTAAATAGCTTAAATGTAATAATGGTTTATTTTTTAAATTAAATTCTAAATATTCCCATGCTTTCCAATCCAGATATCTGACTGTTTTTTCCCAAGCAGTCTTTCGTATGTTCCTCACGATCAAATTTTCAATCTGTGTAACAGCTTAATCTTGTGATTGAGGTCACTGGAGTCTGTGCTCAACAACTCAGGGCATTACATCCCAAGTGTGCAATTTTATTGATTTTGGTAATATCGTGTTAAGCTTTCAATCTGAACAAGTCTTCTTTTGCCTTTGT